GGAAATTTGGCAGCGACGCGCTGACACTTTCGGATACGCAATCAACTGGATATCATCCCCACAGCAGGAATTTTTATAAGTGACACTAGCGAAAATAGTGGCATGGGGGATGAAACAGTACTTTGGTTCAATCGGAACAGTCCATACAGTGGAGTTATATAGAAGAAGGGGATTTGCGAAGGTCATCATATCGTATTTGACACGCAAGATCCGAGATAGTGGGGAGATCGCGTGGTGTCATGTGGAAGACGTGGCAAGTAAAGGAATATCAGGAAATATGGTTAGGTCAGTGGGTTACAAAAGGACAGACATGCAACACATTTGGGTCGCGTATTCACCAGGTTGTGTCTAATTCTCACTGTGACTAGTTTTCCACTGACTTCTAAATGAATAATAAATAAGTAAAGTGGAATTCATGAAAGTATCCGTGAACTCAGTTTTACACACTGAAAAATGGCGTTTATTTATCATCTGCTGCTTGAAACACGTGAACATGTCATAAACATGTTATTGAATCAATAAACGCTGACCGGACTAGGAATTACGTGACTGTATAATAATATATGGTGGATACATTGTAGAAATGAGACTGATATAAAATACGGTACAGTGATGATCGAATAAATCAAGATTCGGCTGAGTAATCGCAAAGCTGGTATTCCAGAATGGAATGAATTAGAAAAGAGACTAAAAATATATTTTGTGTTTCAAGAAAACACAGCTCAGTGTTCCTGTAAGGGTTCTGATTGTTTAATCAGTATTTTTTTTATAAAAGCTAATGCAACACAGTGATTTCTTACACTTTCACAGTTTGTTTCTGATTGTGAAATATGTGGATATGTTTATTCTTTGGTAACAAAGCACATGACATTTTTAATACATATATATTTATTCATTTTATGCTCATAACAAGTTGCTGGATTTGATGCTAAAAGTAGCTTGTTAGTTTCAAATAAAATAGATTCAAATTTCCCCACTTGTACAGAAAGACAGTGGGCAAATGGCCTACAGAAATCGCACATGAGAACAACCTGGTTCTGAAAAAGAGTTCTCTCGTAGTTAATGGGTATTGTCAAGAACAAAGAAACAGGTGTTTTGAGGGACAAGGAAAAAGTACCGCTTTTCTGGTACTACTACCTACATGCACCCACAAATCGTTTGCAAGACATGATTCACAGCGATTCAATTCAAATTATCCCAAATGTCTGCCATACATTACAACTTGTACAATCAATAGTATTGTTAAATATGAATCGAAAGGAAGATGACCACGACTATAAATTTGATTTGAGATTACATGTGATCTGCATTTGTTAATCTAAGGTAAAGGTTTGTGGTATGTTATCAATCCCTTTATAAAACTACTTCTTTTACCTTGAAGTTGTGCCACCGTTATTGAAAAATACCATCTTAGATTCAGACATGTAAATTTTCATTTTGTGCAGAACTGTGGCAGTATGCTGATTAACATTTGTAGTTTGATTACAGATTCTGTACACAATACAGCATTCATGGAATAGAGAGAAAATATGCAATATTCTGTAGACCAGAATCTGAATACCAGATTTGCCAGAGTAAATCTGACAAGTCCTGAAGAAATTGAACACTGTTGGACTAAGCGCACATCCTTGCCTAACATCCTCCTTGCATGTAAATGTCAGAAATGATGATGTATAGATGTATACATTCCTGTGAACCCATTTGTTACATAGTAATAACAGTGGCTTAGTGTGGTTAACCCTGTTACGAGCGCTGTAAAAGCACGCATAAAATCAACGGAACTGTCCTTTAATAATAATATGGCTGAACAATTTAGCACATCTTAAGTTGCAACTTCTGAAACGACTTCAAGTCGTAGCTAAAAGCTTAAAACAAGAGAAAATGTATTTAGCACAGCCCCCAAAAAGTAACTGAACTTCACTGTTACACATAACCAGCATAGGTTCGATACCTGAGGAGATAAGGGGAGGTGCCATAATGATAGAAATGGGGAGAGTTATTTATCGAAGTCTACACGCCATGAAACGGTGAAAGCTGTTGTTGAGTACTTCAAACCGAAGTGAAATACTGTTCCCCTCAGTGGAGAATTAGGTTGTGTAAGATCCAGTCCCATAAACAAGACAATAACATTTTGCGTAGTTGTCCAATTTTATATCCTATGATTCTATAGTCCTATTTAACAACTTTACAAGGGGAAATAATATTGAGGTATTCGACTCTGTTAACAGGGATTTTTTATTGTTTAGACTGGCCAATAATGGTATCAACGGGAAAATGTATGTAATTTTACAAAGTATTTATAAAGACGTCAAATCATGTGTTCGTGAAGGAGGAGTCACTTCAAGATTCTTTGAATTGAAGAATGGGGTTCGACAAGGGTGCATGATCAGCCCTATTTTATTCTCATTTTACATTAATGAGCTACAAAGCATGTTGGATGACTCTGGGTATAGAGGAATACAATTGATCCCGAACGACATGTTAGAGTTGTTTTCATTATTGTATGCTGACGACATTGCTTTATTTTCAAATTCTGTTTTGGGCTTGAAAAAACTAATTAGTATATTGTATGAGTTTACAAACAAGTGTGATCTAAATATTAACTTAAATAAAACTAAAATTGTAGTATACAGAAATGGGGGATATCTCAGTAAATATGAAAAGTGGTACTTCGGGAACAAGCAACTTAGTACTGTTAGTTCATATGAATACTTGGGATTGGTAATGTCATGTAAATGCTCTTT